CTTAACTGAATGTAGAACCGCTTAACTGAATGTAGAACCGCTTAACTGAATGTAGAACCGCTTAACTGAATGTAGAACCGCTTAACTGAATGTAGCGCCGCTTGACTGAGGTTTCACCCCTGGGACTTCTGACCAGATTGCGTCTTTAAGAAGTCCTTCTGTATGGCCTCAATGTCTAGGTTGTACTTGTCCGGGTTCTTGACCTTCTTAATAAGGCATCTTTTTCTCTTCTGCTTGTAGTAAATTCTAATAGGGGTGCCCCGTATGTTGAAGCTGTCTCTTATTCTGCTTTCCAGATATTTTGTGTAATTTTCGTAAGCACACTTTTGAGAATTACAAAAAAAAACAAAACCAGGGGGTTTAATATGGGCCTGAAAGGCGTAGTAAATGTTTAGCGACTTGTTCCTGATGGGAATTGGAGGTCTAAGGAGCAGAGCTTCCTTGATAACGTCATTTAAACTGTTCGTGTTTATTTTCCTTGTGTATTGCTTATACGTCTCTTCGGCATTATCGAATATGTTAAGCAGCCTCTGCGACGTCTTTGCAGATATGAACAGAATGTTGGCAAAATCAACTGGCTTGAGAAGATTAAGAACATAATTTTTGGTGTCATTAAAAATGTCATTTTTGTTATATATCAGATCCCATTTGTTGCAGCAAATTATACAGCTTTTATTTTCTTGCACAATTTTTCTTGCTATATTTATGTCTTGTGAGCTGATTCCATTAAAGGAGTCAATGACAAGGATGCAGACGTCACTACGTTTGATAGCCTTCTCAGTTCTGTTGAATAGTAGGTATTCATATTTCGTTTTTTCGTTAAAGGGGACATTTTTTTTCCTTTTTTGTATTCCAGCAGTGTCAATCAATCTGTAAATTCTGTCACTGTCTTTAATCTTTACTAAAATGTCAATCGAATCAACCGTGGTTCCTGCTATAGGGGAAACGATGAAACGATTACAATTTAGAATTTTATTTAATATACTTGACTTCCCTGTGTTTGGTTTTCCAATGAAGCTAATGTTTATGGTGTTTTCTTGATTTTTTTCTTCTTCCATTTCGTTTATCTCCACTTTTTTTATATACTTGATGCATTCGTCTAAAATTTCGGTAAGCCCATTTCCATGGATCCCACTGCAGGGATAGGGCGTTCCGAACCCCAATTCCCAGAAGTTTTGCGCCTTCACGTTCCCATCTTTGTACGACTCGCACTTGTTCACGCATACGATAACTTTTAGCGTGTCTTTCTTTAGCCCATCGTTTTCGTCTGCTTCTTCGTCTGCTTCTTCGTCTGCTTCTTGCTCTTCTTCTTCCCCCTCTTCTTCCCTTTCTGCGTTCCTCGTGTCAGCGCCGTTGTGAGACCTTCGGGACGTAGTGTCCGTTTGAGAGTTGTCCACTGCGGGCCCTTGGGACGCATCACTCGATGTGCTGCTACCTTTCGATGCGTCCTCCGGCGGGTGTCTTCCACCCTCATCATGGTTAACGCGGCCGGCCCGCTTCTTCCGAGTGGCCATTTTACTAATGTACTTGTTTTTAATGTACTTCCTGAGGAACCTGCATATCTCGAGGTCGACAGGGTGGACCCCGTTTATCCCATCAACGACAAGCAACACGACTGAGGACTCGTTAAGCGATAACAAAATTTGATCTCGTATTTGTTTGCAGAAATTTTCATCTTCGAATAGGAGGCCACCTGTATCCACCACCTCAAATTTGTAACCATCCCAATCCACTTCTCCATAAATTTTATCTCTTGTGCTGCTTTGTCCTAGGACGATGCTACCCTCTTGGAACTTCCTCGTCAGTCGGTTGAATATGGTAGACTTTCCAACATTCGGTCTGCCTATAATAGATATCAGGGGTAGGTTCCTTATGATTTTTAGGTCCAGGTCTTTTTTTTTCCCTTTCCGTTCGTGAGGAGGTTGGCGTTGTGCCTGGCTATGCAGGTCGGGGGGTTCTTCTTCATGTGACTGGGCATTTTGTTCCCCCTTTTCTTCTCCGTTTTCGGCTCCGTTCTGTCCGCCCTGCTGTGCCTCTTCTTCACTTGTCATTTCGCTTGCATAATCTTCTCGCTTGTCGCAAAACCCTCCCTTTCCCTTCTCCTTCGCTTCAATTTCTCCTATATGACGTTCCCAATCTTGCGCCCACCCTGTGTGTCCCTCAGTGGAGTCACCACCAAGACTTTTCCCGTGAGCCCCGTGTCCCTCAGGAGGGACGGATGATGCACACTCTGGGGAGTCAGCATTCGAAAGGGTTCCCCCCTCATTGGCCATATCACTCACAAAATGGACATCCTCTTGGTGTCCTTTTTTCCTCTCTTCATCTTCGCCACGGTCTGCGCTTCCATACTCATTGTCCACCTCTTCGATCGTTGTCTCCCTAGCACAGTATTTTTTTTCAGCTCCCCTCGGCTGCCTGTCTGTTTGATCGTCTATATTGGTACCTTTGTGTGTAAGCCGCCCATCTTTACCGCCACAATTATTTCTTAAATTTCGCTCCTTCACGAATACTTTAAAACGGTAAACTTTCTTTCTCAGTTCATTGTGTTCATTAAAAAAGGGGACATGAGAGGAGTAACCAAGAGGGCAAATGTTCTTCTTTTGCACCTTGTTGTGAGAAAATAAATTATTTACAACAGGATGATGCACAATTTTAATCATGTAACTGTTGCAGAATTGTACGAGGGAAAAAGTAAAAATGGTTAAGAGGAAGGAAACTTTTAATTTCATAATAAAAATTATTTATTATGATTTTTTCCAACACTTCGATTTTACGCGCGCGGGTGTACACTTTGTGAATTTTGGCGCCTGGGTGATGTAGCTACTCATCTGTGTAAGCAAACACATTCTGTGGAATGCCACTTTTGGGATATGGCGGTGATATAAGGCATGCGTTTCCACACAACTGAGTCTCCTCCATTTCAGCAGGGAAGAAGATACGTGTACGTAACAACGCCGTTCTAAAGGGATGGAGGTGGGGGAAATGAAACCCTCTGGAAGTTACCAAATCCGCGATGCGCTAAGTTTAAGCATTGTGGCAAAGGTGTTGCACGTTTTGTTGCGGTACATTTCACAGTAAGGCGAAGATGTGGATGAGGATGACGCGCCCATGTATGTCACAAAGCAGCAATGGCCAAATGAGAGGGCGTGCGAAAAGTTATCATAATAAAAAATTATGTACAGTATGGTTCGCCTATGTCACCTCCTTGCATAAATTGGAGGGACCAACACGGGGAATGAAAAATCATTCGCTGTTTACCTCACCTTTAAAAATCCCTAATCGTACAAAATGGGATTGCTTAATATGGCAATTTTAAGTTACCTAAGTGCAGACGCTGTTTCGCCAAGGGTTAAAAAAATAGTGGGCATACTGAAACGCAGCGAACCTTTCATAATTCGTAGCCATGTAATATCATTTTTTTTTTTTTCAATTTTTAAAAAATGTCCCAAACTTATTCTCACTATTTTGACAGTAAAAAACGAATTTGTCAATTTATACTCTTACGTTAAGTTCAAATGTTTTTTTCTTTTTTTTTCACTTGGGAAAGAATTAAAAAATGAAAAGATAGATCAAATGGGACAGCAAATTTTGTTATGCTGCAGAAATGTGCGTAAGGGAACTTACCCAGGCAACGGTAAATGTTAAAAGGGTAGAGTATGTATGGGAAAATGGTGGTCAGCTACTCCATTGAAATGGACGACGCACGAAACCAGAGAGGCGTCCCCTCCACAAAACCTGCACACAAGGGGGACTGACACGTGTATATCTGCACGAGTGCACAAAAAGGGGTGTAATTATCTGAACGTGTCTCCAAAAAGAGCGGAGGACTCTTCCTTTGCGCATCATTTTGGAGATCTCCCAACTGTTACAAAGAGGCGTTTGCAACATGTCGGCATAAACCCCACCCCTTGTGTTCTTCACCTTTCCGTTCCAAGTTAAAATGGAGGAGCGTCTTCTTTTTTTTTTTTCCCCCTCCTAATTGGGACATTTTTTCCACTGGAGCGGGCACATATCTATATAAGTGTACTAACATGCTTGTCAGCATTTACGCAGGAGGAGAGTGGTCCCCATTTGGGTATTCCATCCCCAAAATGATGTATCAAATATTCTCCATGTTATTCATCAGTTTCCTTTTTTTCGATTCAGTCACTTGGTTTCTTTTCTCCTTCTCATAGGTAGCTTTTCTCTTGGCTTGTTCTGACGTGATGCACTTTTGTTTCTTACTCGCATTATTGCTGTTAACGCCCTCTTTTAGTTTGTCAAATTCGTCCACATTTTTATCAAAAATGAAATCATCGGCAAAATCGATGATAAGATGTCTTCCATACAAATGGGTATGCTGTAGTGACTCAATTGCTGTGAGGCATTCATTTTTTGACATAAACTCAACAAATGCATATCCTCTACTTCTGTTATATGCATTTTTGGGGATTCGGACACTTTTGATATTTCCAAATGCAGAAAATAATTTTCTTAATTCTTCTTTCGTCACCTGAAAGGCTAAATTTTTTACTAGCAACTTTTTGGTAATTTTTTTTTTTTCCTTAACTACCTCTTTTTCTTCATCATCTTTAATTTTTTTTTTTTTAACTCTGTTACGAGAAAGACTCAGCTCCAGCACGTGGCCATCCAGAGTTGTTGCTGTCAACTTTTTGATGGCCTCAACAGCTAACTCTTTGCTTTTAAATTCGACAAAACCGTATCCCTGGGACATCAGTTTCTGTTCCGGCGCTTCCCCCTTTTCGTGATTCTTCTTCGATATGGCCTTCTTACTCTTCACAATATTACAGGTTATAAATCCTTCCAATTTTTCGAACAACTTTTTTAGGTCTTCCTCCTTCGTATTGAAGTTCAGGTTCTTGATGTAGATGCTGGCATGTGTAATTTCTTCATCACTGGACTCGCTTTCGCTATGGTGTTGTTCCTTCTTCGGGGCCGCTTCGTGTTCAGATTTTTCGACTGCTTCTTTGGTGGGTATCCCTCCGCCGTTCCTCTCCCCCTTAATACCGCCTGCGAGGCCATCAAAGTCTCCCTTTCTCTCAAACAAGTTCATGGGGGCCCACTCCAAATACAGGGGCAGCTTCTTATACCGTATGTACGAGTTCGATATGAAGGCCTTCTTGGCGTTTTCCGCTTTCTCGAACTGCAATATGGCTATATTGTTATAGGGGGAAAAACTAACTTTGCTCAAAACACCATACTTCTTAAAAAGACTTATTACTTCCTTCTGGTTTGTTTGAATGGACAAATTTTTTACTATTATGGTGTCATCACTGCGTTTGTACTTGACGACGTGGTTCGCGAGGCTGGGCTCCTCCCCGGGAGGGTTATCTCCGTCCGCTTTTTCGCCTTCTCCTCTGTCCGCCTTTTCGTCCACTATTCCGTCCGCTTTTCTGTCCGTTTCTTCATCCACTTTTCCGTCCGGTTCTCCCTCCTCGACCCTCTTCTTATATATCTGCTCGAAAGCCTCCAAATAAATCCCCTCCTTCTTTATCCACTCCTTCATTTTGTTAATTATGTACGTCTCCGTGAGAGAAACATTAACGGCAATGTTCCTGTCCTTTATGTTTAGTATGGAATGGGGGCTGCATTTATTTTCCTTGCAAAAACTGTGAATGCTGGAGTTGATGTCTGTGTAGAGAATATTCCAGATGTTTTCATTTTGGCAGTTCCTCTTTTTTTGAATTTCCAATATTTTCTTATACGATGTTTTCGAATCATGAGATAATTTAATGAACACATTATTTTTTCCTTTCTCTGTATATTCGTAGTCTCCAAATTTATCCTTGGCATATTTAACGCTTAACACTTTTCCCCTAAAAATAGTATGATCTAAGAAATTCTTGGCTCGCTCACAGGCGCTGGGGAACATAAAATTGACGAAGGCATATACCTTTACATTTGTAAGGTCGCTGTTCAGGATAGACTCGTTTCTGCTGCTTCCGTTTTTATTTTTCCGATCTGCCGCCTTCCCATCGTCTATCTCTCTGTTATTCCTTTTCATCACCCCACTGTCAGCTTCATCCAAGTTGTTTTTTTTTTTTTCTTTTTTCTTTTCTTTTTCCTTTTCGTTTCCAAACGTGTCGTGGTTTTCCTTCAACAGTTTTATAAAGAAGTCGTCACTCGATTTGGTGTTTTTTTTCTCATTCAAATTTAGGACTACTGCTCCCTTTTTTACGTTCTTAAAGATCTTCACATCGACGACGGGACCAAACCGTTCGCACAGGTTCTTTACGTCGTATTCGTTTACGGGGGGCATGTTAAAGATGATAATTTTCCCGGTGTTCATATTTTCACAATCCTCCTCGTCCACGCCATTGTCCGCTTTTTTTTTCCCTTCCTTTTCGTCGCTAGACTGATTACTCGCTGTGCTCATTTCGTCCTCGAATAGGCGGTTCTTTTGCGCACCTTGATCGTTTTGGACATTTTTGTCGTTTCCCTCCCTTTTGGAGATTTTTTTCAGCCAATCTAAGGCTTTTTCCTCCGCGGCCTCTTCCTTTTCTGTGCCACTTTGCGCGCCATCGCCTGTATCAGCAAGGGCAGCATCATCCATGCTGCCTTCATCAGCTATGTCCCGCTTAGCACCATTTGTGCGTCCCTTCTCCGCTGGATCCAACCGTTCGCTTGGATTTTCCCCGCCCTGGGGGTTATCCCCTTCCATTTTGGTCTTCTTCTTTTGCTTCATCTCCTGCTTCTTCTTTCCCTTCTTCTGCTTCTTCTTCTCCTCCTCCACCTGGCCCTGAACCGGTTGATCATCTAAAAATATGACGTGGCTCCTGGTGGTGTTCATCCCCGCTTTGGTTTTCTTGATGGGAATCGTTTTGTTGACAAAATTTTTGCTTTTCACAATTTGAACAGACTGGTCTTTCTTCATCCTCTGTATCTTTCCTATACGTTTAAGGGCATACGAAGTGGCGTTTCTGCTCTGTCGCGCATTTTTGGAAATAAGTGGAGAAAAGGCATCCTCAACGACAATTTTGCTAGTATTAATGTAGGTGTTATTAAAAGATTTTTTAAAATTCTCACAATCGGTGTTGTTAATAAAACCTATGAAGCAAATTTTTCTGGACTCAAAAAATTCTTTATTCTTGATAAGTTTTTTTCTCTTCATAATTTTTATATCTGTTATTTTAAATTCATAATTCCCTTTCATTTTAAAGAAGTGTTTTTTTAAATCCATTTCGTTCATATATTTTGGGACATTTTTTATGATCAACCTTGTTTTGTCAAAGTTGGATTCATTTTGGAAGGGTCTACTGTTGTAGTTGCAGTTGCTGTCGGCCGTGTCGACGTTGCTGATGCTGGTCGCCGCGTAGTCCATCATTGTGTGGCGTACTGTGGGTAAAAACTTGCCTAGTACTGTCTCCACGTTAGCACAAAATAGGTACTAAAGATCCATAGGGGGCATATATGGACGTGTTTTTTCAGTTTAGGGGTATATTTGAATCTTTTTCAGAAATGTCCCACAGGTTAGTCCATTCCTACATTAGGGCGTACTCACGATTCGTACGATTGTACAACTTCGAAATGGTGCTTTATTTGACTTTCCTTCGTCAGCTATGCTTCATTCGGGATTTTCATCCTTTTCTCTCCTCTTCGCAAAAAAACTGATACACTGGGGGGGGTGGTACATTCGCAAAATTTGCTGACTAAAGAGTATAGCCTTCTTTTTAACAAAATACGCCCCCCTTGCCCCCAATTGGTTCATTCCCAAATGGGTCTTCACTCCAACTTCAAATTGGGGGTGGTACACGTATATATCCCTGGCTTGGGAAAAATATGCCCTATTGCAACTGCTTCCAAATATATGCGATGCACAATGAGTTAATTATACGAGAAGGAAAAAGAAAAAAAAGGTACAAAATGGGGGTAAATTTATACATAGCAATATGCTGAAAAAATTAACGTCTCTTTATTATGCTACATGGATCCTTTCTTTCTTTCACAAACTTGCGCAGAACTTTTTGGTTTCTTAAAAATTGAGAAACTTGCAAAGTTGTACATGTGGTAATCCTACGGCGGGAAAATTGAACCGCTTGAATTTTTTTTTTTTTTTTTTTTACCGGGTTAAGGGGCATATGTTATTTTATGTAACAACGTGATGGAGTTGTTCGAAATAACTTTCACGTAAATTATAATCGCCTTCTTCGCTTCCACTTTTTTCATCTCGCAAATGAGTATACCTTATTGGAAAAGCATAAATATATGTCACTGTACGAATAAGGGTCTTAATGCAAGCGCGATTTGACTGAACAAATTTGTGGTTGTACAGGAAATGATAAAATAAGCGAAAATGAACAAGTGGATTATCCCGTCCCTCTTCCTTTTTTCCCCTCCTCCTTTTATGCACGAAAAATGAGCAAATGGGAATAACGGCATTGTACTCGCGGAAGTGCACCAAAAATTGTGCCATTTTTGTTACGCAGAATATGGGAAGATAAGTAGCAACATGGTGACGGAAAAGTTGCCCCTTTTTTTTCCCATAAATGTATAATAGTAGTAGTGTATGCATTAGATCCCCAAAAGTGAAAAAAAAAAAAAAAAAATTAACAAATGGTTTGCAAAGACTGGCTAAGGTAGGTTCTTTAAAATCCCCATTTTTCAGCGCAACGTCCGATGAATCTTTCGCAATTTATCCATGTCTTGACTCATTTTTCGTTTTTACGAATTTGTCACATTAAGACGGCTGCAACGTCGTTCATGCGCAGCGATGAGGCTACTCCATTTGCGTGCACAATGTGGACGTCCTGTACTTAGCGCGATCAGCACGTTGGCCCACATTTATTCCGTGATTCATTTATGTATGAGAATATCTATCGCTCATCCGTTCGTCTGCCCGTCCACCCGTCCATTTGCTCAGTCGTCCATTTACCCACATGCTTCCCCTTCTGCTAACAAATAGGCGATCAAAATGCGGGACAACGTGGACGTGGCAAGTCTGCTGGAAAAATACACTCTGAATTTTCTTACCTCCCTGCTAGACAAAAAGAAACAAAAAAATGTTTTGTCCAAAGGAAAAATTCTTGAAATGACAAGACTGTTCTGCATCATCGAAATCGTTTCGAAAAACATAAAGGGAAATATGCATTCCACATTGAGACAAATATTTTACACAAACCCACAGTTGTTCATGTCTCAAAAGGTTTCAAATGTAACGATTGGAAAGTTAACAAAAATTATTAAGATTCCGAGAGAGTTGCTAAATATTTATAATTCCCCCAAAGGAATAATCAGAGGAAATATTTTCCTCCGGGAAAAAAATTCAAGTGAATATAAAATCGCGCAACGATGATTTTATATTCTGTCACGCTGGTGTACACAGATATGGCACGTTATAAGTTCTCATATACATGTGCACATGGCCGGGGAGCACTCTTCAACTAACGCACTTCCACCCCGTTTTCTCTTTAGGCCCATGGGTTGACTGCATGAGTATTTTTGAAGTCCGTCAAAGGGAACATACCACACGGCTGTTGGATATGGCCGTTGAAGATGGCCGTACCAACCAAACGCACACGACGCCTGTCTACACAAATAGCCACGCAGATAATTAGTGACAAGCTTACTTCCCATGTCACATGTCCCTCAGCGCATTATATACAGTTGCTCATTTTTCATTTCATCAATTTTGAATGCACATTTTATCCTATGTTTTACCCCCGTTGTAGGGTATGATTTATGCTCATTTTCGCATGCGCAACGGCACCCCCTCCTTCCCCCCCTTTTCAGACGAGAGGGCATTTGATATGCCCCTTTGGTGTCTCCGATATAAAAATTTCGCCTGATGTGAAATACGTGCTTATAGTGGAAAAGGAGACGGTTTTTTTTAGGCTCCTACAATCGGATTTCATTTCGAATTATGGGCCCTGCATTTTGATTACGGCCAGAGGGTTCCCAGGTTGGCACAGGAAGGGATGACTCTGAGGGGGGTGCACAGACATGTGGAAACGCCTGTATGTACGCGCCTATGCACATATCAGTGCATATGTATATATATAGGTATATATGTATGGTTATGTGTATGTATATCTGTGCACACCCTTCCGCATGACCCCTCTTTTACAGACCTTAACACCCGGCAACTACTTTACGAAATCCGTAGATGCAACAAAGGCTTGAAGATTTTCTGCCTCACCGATTACGATGCTTATGGTTATTTCGAGGTTGATGCGTATAGAGATGGGCGCACACGGAGAAGGACGCCCGGGCAGTGTCATTTCGCTCCTCTTCGCATCGTTCCGCCGTAAGCACTGCAACACATACGTTGATTCAGGCGCGAACATTTTTTTCTTTGTCCTCACCAAGGTCTAAGCATAGCGTTCACCTATACGTCGAAGATGGAGTCAAAAGTTTACTGTTAAGAAAAATGTTGAAAAAAGAAAAAAAAAAAAAAGGAGATTTTTTTTTTCCAAAGAGGCAAGGCAACATATTCCTTTTCCCCATCATCCCATTCTTCATAAATATAGACGTAGACGACGTATCTATTGATAATTTATGCTGGCTGAATTTGTTCGCCCCCGAGGAAGGGCTTCAAAAACAAGTTTTAAAAGATATTGATATAAGTAAACTGACCTTAAGGGATATCCGGATGTTGGACAAGTGGGGATTTGCATAAGTTGCATCTTCCGTCATACATGGGGCGAGCGCATAGACTGACATCAGTGGAAAGTAGCAACCAGATGTGCAGAATGGGTGTCCCTATTTTTTATTTTCCCCTTTTTTCCCCTTTGTAGCTTTTGCGAGACAGTAAAAAGTAACCGCAAATTCCGATCCTCTGAAATTTTTGCGTGGACGTAAGGGGGAAAAAAATGAAAAAAACATGCACGTCATCGGAACCAACTGGTGCGAGGGTGGTAAAATGCTCTTCTTCTGTGGACATCCCCCACTGCATTTCTCCTGTTCGCGCTTTTTTTCCACTTAAGGGAATACGCTAACCACATGAAAACTTCCGGCGTGAAATACGAAGTAGATGCAATCCAAGATATTGAGAAACATTTGAGCATAAGGATTGGGGAACTCCTTTGAGTGTGGCCATGACAAGCATTTGCATCCCCCGTGGCATACAGTTTGATGAACACGGGGGGATTCTCACTATACGCTTATGTACACATCCATATGTCTACGCTTTTGATTCATTTTTCTGGTTTTTTTCGCACAAAGGGGCATGCATAAAAGGGCACCATTCATTGGTTACGTAACACACAGTTTGGGGTCTGCCAATTTGGGGTCCCATTATTTGTCCTAGCATTAATAACCACCCCACTGACTCACACAAACACGTCACATCTACAAACTTTGAATTGATCACCGCAGAATTGCGCCGGTGTATCCTTCCAAGTGTCAAAAAAATGATAAAAAAAAAAAAAAAGAAAAAAAAGAAATTCATAGTTACACGCATATCTCCCGGCTCATAAAGCGAAAGCAGCCAGCCGATAAATTAAGAAACGAAATATGCTTTTGCAAATTGAAGCATAGAAAAATATGGATGGCACGAATTCCCAAGAAAAGGGGGCCCCAATATGTTATTTGAAATGTTAACCCCCCATATGATTTACTTCTTGTACGTTGAAGTCTCCAGAAAAGATTGATCTTCCATCTCAGCAAAGGTTTCAAATGCTTCTCACCAGTGGTCTTCACCATATGAAGCAAAGCAAGATAAGTGCTGAAGCATCTACTTGGCAGAAAAAAGTGAAATGACAGAGAGGCATAAGTACACATACACCAGCTTAGCTACTGGCATGGATATTTACCCACACGGGGGTGCACGACGTATCGGTAAGAAGAAACACAGGGACTCATGTAGAAAAGTAAAAGGAGGGTATACATAACTGCGGAAGGAAGGATACTCACTTTTTTTCTTTTTTTCTTTTTTCTATTCATTTTCGGTTTATACTATGTTGAAAAACTGCTTCGAAAACTTAGTCCGATTTTCTCACCAGTCCGTAAGACATTGCTGCAAAAATAGGAATGAAGTGCTACTAATAAAAAAATTTTCCTTTACGACGAACGCGATTTGTATGGGACCCCACCGAGGTAGCATTTTGAGTGGATTTTATTTCCCCTTTTTAAAATCTCATTTTAACTTTATATTAAAGAAGCAAATAAGCACAAAGCGCAGAAGGTACTTTAAAATTAGAAAACATCAGAAAAAGAAATACAAAAAAAAAAGAATGGGTCTGTCTACCATTCCTTGGATCCCAACGAAAGAAAAAGTGAGGACGTATAAACTGCCTCGGCAAAGCAGACTTATAAATAAAAGATTCATGCGGGATAAGAAGGGTGGCCGCAGATATCGTTTGAAGAAGCAGCGGTGAGTGGAGGTGGCTCCTCGGTGGATGCACCCAGGGGGGTGGATGATTATTTGTTTTGCTTATCTTTGTTTGAGTAAGCGGTGAATATTTTTGTCCTTCCCCGTTTCATATTTTATTTCGTTTTTTCTTTGTGCAAGCAAGATAGTAAGGAAGGAGATTTCCTTTTTTCCGCGTCTAACGAAGAAACAAAATGGTGGTTGATCCACGCGTGTTTTTCTATATCGCGCTGCGTCCACCGTGTTGCTGCGGCTTTTTCTGCTTCTAATTCGTTTTTAATTGGGCAGTGCGTAGCGGCAGGTTGAATTTTCTACGCTGTTTATCTACTGCTTTCACGCGTATTTTCTGCTTCTTCCCCGCCGCTTCCTCATTGCTCCTCACCTACGTGAAACATTTTAATAGTCAAATTAAACTTAAAACTGAAAAAACAATGTTGCAGTGTTGCTTCTAATAAGATTTGTGGAAAAACCTACTGCGATGTAAAAGACATTGATAAAAAAAAGATAATAACGAGTGACAACTTTAATTATAAAGACGTGAGGGAATAAAACAAAATTATTTCAGAGGGGGGCGTGTACATGCAATGGGGGAAATGGACGGGGAAAGGCTAATGCAAAATCGCATCGGCGAAATGCAAAAGCGGAGACCCAAATGCGACGACGCAAAAAACACAGGGGAAAAAAAAAAATTAAAAATTAAGGGCAAGTGCAAATTCGAATGCAAAAAAGTCATAAAAAAAACTTAACAAAACGTTTAAACAATGCAATTCATAACGAAAAGGGGAAGAAAGGAATTGGTTCATTCATATATCTTTAGGATAAAATGAATAGACTGAAAACATAGGTTCGTACAAATATGGACAAGAGATTATTTCATATGTACAGAAGTACATACACCTGTGTGGTTAAATTAATAACGCATATAAAATGGGGGAATTCTGCCCCCCTGGGTTTCGTTGAAGGATGCCATATTGGTGGTGTGTATTTGGTTTATCCATTGAAGTCGAAACATAATGCTGCATTTCTCATTACATTGTTTTCGTTTAGCTTGTGACGCGAAGCGATAATAACACTGACATGATCTTCTCCCTCGGTCTGGAGAATTTCCTTTCTGCCACTTAACCGCGGGAGGGCCATACTGCCCTAGCAGATGTATATGCCACATTTATATGCCAAGGTGCGGTGGCCCCCAGTTCACACTTTTCTTTCACAGCCAAAGGGGCCCCGTCGTGCATACTGAAAAAGGTACACTTGCACGCGTGTGCCAGGAACTGGAGGCTTACCTAACGGTATGTGCCTGCACCCTACTTCGTCGCCTTCTTGGCTAATATCTGTGCCCTGAGAGTCTTCATTCTGAGGATAACTTCCTCCAGCGTCCTTGTCTTTATCTCAGAGGCCACTAGCTGGAGCCTCTCCTTTTTCGGTAAAGACGCAGGGTGCTTGATCAGCGCTTGTTCCAACAAATACTGCTCCTGATGTGTCCATGGCCGCTTCACCTCCGCGTGGCCATTTAAATTATCTGTCAAATTATCTGTCGACTTATTTTCTAAGTTATCTTTTTCCTCGGCTGTCATTTTTACATCCCTCTTATCTAAATTGTCATCGATTTTTTTCATCACTCCTTTATTTTGATTTTTAAAATTATCAAAAGCAGTTTCTTCAAAGTTTCTGCTTAAATTTTTTAACGTTTCATTTTCGAACATTTCTTTTGTCTTCTTTATAACTTCTTTCACACTTTTCGTTTTTATAAAATTGGAAATCAGATCCCATCTGTTTCTGGTTCCCCCTGGGTAGGACTTCAATGCCTTCGCAAGTAGGGAGACTTCCTGGGCCGTCCACTTCCCGCACGTGTTACTCGATTCATCATTCTTCTTTTTGTCATTTTCGGAAACGTGACCACTTCCCTGTTCATTCATTAGCTTTACATTTTCGTTAACCTGTTGATGCACATGGGAGGGACTACTATTCATGGTTCCCCCTTCTGCTACCCGTGCATCCCTTTCGTCTTTGTTCGTTGTACTCGGGGCCTCCTTCGAGTTTTTTTTTTGTTCCTCTTCCATAACACGGGTAAATTGGTTAATGTATTTTTTAAATATCAGAATTAACAACTCGATTTCTTTGTCCCCCAGTTCTATGTTCTTCAGGTGGCCTATAAACCCGGTGGTTCTGTTTCCCCCACCGTAGTTGCTGTTCTGTGTTTGACTGGTCGTTTGGCCCGCCACCTGATTGCGCGTCGTGCTGCTCGCCGTGCTACACGTGGTACTGCTCATGGTGTTATTGCGCATGGCGATGTTTTCGGAGGGGCTCCTCTTGGAATCAACGCTTTCGGGAAGTTTTGGCTCTCCTGAATTCACCCCGTTGGGTACTTTCTCCGCATTTACTAATTTGTTCCTATTTTGTTCGTCTTCTCGTTTGTTACCAGTGGGGTGCACTTCCACTCGTGGGTCACTTTCCCCTGTTTGGATTTTGCTGTGATGCAGATGGTTAACTTCACAAGGGGGGCTTTCAATTGAGGTGTCGCCATTTATCGCTTGGTTTTGCTTGTCCTTCTCTACGATAAAGTTATCCTTATGGTTGTAGTTGCTGATCCGAGCGATATGTCCATTTAACGTGTTGTTATTCTCCTTCTTGGTCGTATAGTCAGTGCCTTCTGTGCAACCCGCGGAGTAGTTGGACAGGCCCGCTTTGGCGCATTCGCGGGGGTCCTCCCTCACTGTGTCATTTGAGTCCTGCTTGACAATTCCGTTTGTCCCTACCAAGTTAGTGGACATATTTTCACAAACATTATTGGTGTTAATTAGGGGACTGCTATCACCCTTGCGCTGTGCATTGTGTGTAGAATATTTCTCCCCTTGTGACTGCTTACTAACTTGGGTATCGTTGGACGCAGTCGGTTTTTCTACAGAAAGAGGATTCCCCTTGTGCAGGTTAAAATTGAGAAACACATAAATGTCGTCTATAAATTCACACAAGGTTTCAAACGGCATAAGGGATAATCTTTCCTGTACCAAATCGGAGTCTACATGTTTTGCTAACTTTGTTAGGCACAGCGATTTAATATGGTGTCTCCAAATTTTGACAGCTGCTTTGTTGTCCTTATTTTTTTTATCATTGCTCTGTTGGTTGGGGGGGTTCTCCTTTTCCATTTCGTTCATCGTCGCATCTGTTTTTTTTTGTTTCTCCAAAATGGAGAATTCTTTTTTCTTTTGTTTCTCCAATTTGAGTCTCTTATTTTCTGCAATAATTCTGGGGTCGTTATTGTATGCTAAATCTACCAATTTGATAATTCTTAAATTTTCCGCCTTGGAAGCCTTTTTCTGGATTTTTCTATTTTCTCTTTCCATCCATCTCCTCTCCTCTCGACACTCCGCTTCTTCATAGTTATATTCATTCTGATACGAGAAATCTCTCCAATTCATAAAATTATACCAAAAGTCGTAAAAATATTTTACAGTTTTGATATCTGTATGTTCATCTCCTATGTCCGGCACTGGTTTTTTAGCGGACCACTTGGCATTTCTCTTAAAAACTGGTCTGAGGAATTCATAAAAGTTGGGGGCCTCCTCCAGCTCGGTTAGTGTTGGAATGTATTCATCAAATGGGATGGAACTGTCATACTGTTTTCGAAGTGTCTTGTCTGACAAGACGGCGTAGGAGTCTTGAATTTTTAGGAACATGCTTTTTTTCTCTTCTGGGGTTAATTTTTCGATGTTGTATTTCTCCATGTAATACATCAAGTCCTTTCTGGTCTCATGGCTGTCATGTTGCCCTTTTTCCTTAGCATTATCATTATCATCGTTTCTGTTACCGTCTTTGCCCTTCTCCCTTTCCTTCTTCTTCTTCTTTTCCTTTTCCTTTTGATTTAAAAAGTTCGTGCCCTTGTTCTTATCAGGATGAAATAACAATATAAGTTTTTTGTACGACGCTTTTATGGTCTCTAAATCATCTGCCTCCTCTACACTTAAAATCTCATACACATTTATGTTATTATTTATGCATCTTTTCACTAAATTGGAGCTCTTCTTATTGTTTGCCTTTTCCTGTTTCTTCTTATTGCTACTATCCATGTTGTTCGGATCATCATAGTCATCTTCGTAATTTTTGTCCCTGTTATTTTTCGTGGACTTCTCTTTGTTGTGGTCGCCACCCTGCTCCTCCCCGCTGTGGGGTTCCTCTTCCGCTTCATTCTTTACTTTAAGTTCATTCAAGTAATCTATTTTTTCTTTATAGAGAAATATCTCCTCTATAGGGATGTGTCTACCTTCCTTTGCCTTTTTCTTCTTCCCTTTTAACAGAGCAATTTCGTACTTTACATAAAACATAAAACCCGCTGGCTCGACCTTTTTCTTTCTTATATTTACGCCATGATGGGTAGAGACGTAAGGTAGGCTGTTACGTTCGCTAGTGTAATCCTCCTCATTTTTCGCGTTAATGTCTTGTAGGCAAAACTGTTCTTCTTCTGTTTGTGTGCACCCATTTTTTGGTAATATGTCTTTCATTTTGTTCATTCGTAGGGGGTAAATCGGCAGGTATAATATGATGTGGGGAGTGATGAATGGCTTTTGGTGGGTGGACTGTCGGAAGGATTGGAACACAGCTCGTCGGACGGCTTTTCTGTTGAACTGCTGGGTGTACAATCTGGTGGTCAAACTGGTAGGGCGGAACTGGCCGCCACGTGAGGGCTTATAAATTCTTTTAAATTATAGGTGGTCCCCCCAGGATCGCTCGCCGCACGTGAGCCTACACACACCTGCAAAGGTACATGTACCTGCCAACATACATACATGTGCACGTACATGCATACACACACTTGTGAAAATGCGAGGAGCTACACGCGGCTGGTGTTAACACAGGTCGGTTCATTTGTAGTGCTATCCTTTTTCCCACAAACAGTTGTTCACAGGTACGTGCACACGAGAATCCCCCTATTCTCCGTCTCACGCCAGAAGGTGAACTTTTACCGATTTAAATGAAAACGCAGGGTCGCGAATCGAAGGGCCAGACTTCTTCAATTCTTTCATGCCGATTTTGACTGTCAAGATGCTGGCCATCCGCGAAGCTCGTTGACAATTACGCAAACGTGTGTTCTCGCGCATGTACGTGCACATATATGTATATATATCTATTTATATATCTGTACATTTATATAGATGTGCTTATTTATATTTGTGCACACCAACCTGCTCCATGCATGTCAGCATATGCGAATGCGCACGTGCGGGCTGCTGCTCGTGCGTGCATAAAATTTTCCCTTCATCTGTGCATCAAAAAGGAAGTGTTCTGTAGGGGAGGCGCAATAACTACGCTGGTACGCACGGATAACAAGCATAAATATATATATGAATATATATGTGCATATGTATATATACGATAAAGATGTCCGTAGGTACGCACTTATGTGCTTGCGCTTGACTTGTAGACTGCTAAATAACGTTTTCAAAGGGGTGGGCGATTCGATTCACGTGGATAAATTGAAAGGGCACATGTTACTCAACTATTATATGAATAGTTACTCAATTATTACATCCATAGTTATAGAATTACAAAAAAAAAATGCTGAAGGGTTAATCCCTCTCTCTTATTTTTCAAATTAAAAAATTTAAGAAAAAAAAGAAATCCCACTGAGGTATACGTAACCCACGCATGCACGTACGAATAGGAGGTACGTCATTATTGCTTGCATAATATATTTCCATGTGAGAAACTCTTCACTTGAAAATTGCGAAGGGTGACGGAAAAAATCTCATTGTAAAGGGAAAGAAATGAATGGCGTGAAGTTGAAAGAAGGGCGAAAGCGTTCGTACGCACGAACTAGTATATGTATGTATAAAGATATATATATATGATATGTACATGCGTGTTTACACGTATGATTCCTAAGAGGCTTTTTTCCTCTCGCAAAAAAAGAAAATGGATTAAAGAGGAAGTAAACGTCATGCGACATTAGCAGAATGGGGAAAGTGAACCATATATAAGCACAGTTCTTTTCCTTTCCTTCTTTTTTCTTTTTCTTTTTTTCTTTCCTACTCTTTATTTTTTACTCTTTTCGTTTAACATATGAACATTTTAAATGGTGGCGGACGAGAGAAGGGCTAATCGTTTTACAATTTGCCCCCCTCTCCTTGCACCTCCTGATGCGTATACAAATCTGTAACGGGGCGCGTCAGCCATATGTGAAAAATAAATATAGTGTATGCATATATGGAAGGATCCAACTGATTTCTTATTTTGCCATTTCTTTTTTTTTTTCCTTTTCCAGTCGCTGTTTTTAATTTGCGCTTATGAGGAGAAGGATTTGTCAGCAGGGACTATATTTTCCTTTCCTTTCTCTACATGTTCATTTTTCATTTTATGCGTATTTTCTGGTTTTTCCTTAATGGCAGCTTCTCCATTGTTTCATTTTATTTGTTTATTTTCCGCTCATGCTTTGCATCGATTTTATGTAAATAAAACTTTTTTCCATTACAATTGCGAGTTGTATGTTTGCATAACTTCATATGGGTTGTAAAAAAAAAAAAAATGAACAGACAGAAAATTTCACGCTTTTCCAGGAGCACATAAGTGATTGTTTGAAAAAAGGCACATTTCACAAATTAAATAATCGAATGAAGAAGTGTGGCAATCTGCGTAGTCCGGCCGTGCACAACATATCCAAACGAATGGAAACAGAAAAAAAGAGGCGAACTGAAGGAACATCATTAAATCGTCGTTTACACAAAATGTGGAGATTTTTTTCCACATTTCCCACCTTAATCGAAATGCACATTGAACAATTTGTGTAGTATTGCGCTTTCTTATAATTTTATTTTATACGGCTTCTATATGGGGAAAAGTTCAAAGACGTTATTTCTTCCCTCCTCCCCACTGGATGTTTACTAAACATGATGAGAGTTCTACATATGTATAACACCCCTGGACGTGGCGATAAAAGAAATATGCACACACTAGAGTAAATTATTACCTTTACAATTTAACCAAGTGGAACTACGCTCCTTAGGATACATTATGGGAGACGCCATTTTCCTTTTTGATATGAAAGGTTCACCATATTTATGTCATTTATCCCTTTGGACGGATACCTTAGTGCCTTCCCCAAACGATGGGCGCTCACCACACGGAGGCACAATTTTAACTATGTTTATGTAAATGATAAAGAGACGGGGGGGAAAAAAAAAGAAGTTCTCAAAATTGACATGTAACAGTTACTACGTTTTTGTGGTATCCCCCTCCGTCGCTTTGGTCATCGCTACGTCGAGTTCTTAGCCAGGTTTTGAAAAAAGGTGGGGACATATTTTGTCAAGTGAAGGAATGCTCCTAATGGAATGGCATTTCTACGGCCAACTTCTACAACGTCAAATAAGGTCCATCCCATTTTCGAGGGAATAAAAACAAAATAGGCCTCTATGTGGATATGAAATATGTATAACTCTTTTTTTTTTTTTTTTTCCTTTCTTCCGTGCAATTTTACTTCTCCTTTCCGCTTGGTACCGATTATGCATTATAAATCGTTTGCTAAACACTGTGTATGTGCTCCCTAACCTTTGGGGAGGAGTTATATGTTGCCCCCCAATTTTTGGCGAAGATTTTTTCACAAATGGGTTACATATGCATTCTTCAAATTTTTAAACATAAGTCTTAGTTAACTCTGCACGTGAACATGATGAACATTTCCCTCGTTACACCCGAAAAAAATTATATGTACAAAGTTTAGGTTACGCAGTGTTTGTCCCCATTTTTTGGCGCGTCGCAGAGCCTTTTTAATTTTGTAATTTCAACTAAACCGTTAAAGGGGAACTACGATGCAGTTATCAGCTATTTAGAAGTTATGTCATTAAAAAGAATAACTTTAATTTAATTCCAAGGAGAAATAAACAAATAATATGTGTGCTAGAATGAAAAGAAACGAAATTTTTGCTCAATTCTATGAAATTATCTAATAAATAAATTTTAGGGTTCACTAAACACAGCTTTATATATTTTACGTTTTATTTTCATGTGCTGTAAAAGAATTGAGGCAGATAAAGTGTTCTAATTTTTTATAGCAAAATTTGTTTTTTCTCTATTGGCTACTCCGGGAATCGAACCCGGGACCTCTTGCACCCGAAGCAAGAATCATACCACTAGATCAAGTAGCCTAATGCATTAAAAAATTCTTTAATTTGCTACGTATGGAAAAATAGCATAAGAATAAGGTTCCCAAACGAGAAAGGGTTCATAACCCAAAGTTAGAGTATTCCTTCTTCGCTTATGAATTATGCACCTCGGGAGGGGTAAAATAACGTAATCTACATGTGAGTGTACATTTATATGACAAAATAATGACCGATTCGATCGAATGGCACCACTATATTTTCTCAAATAGCAACATATAGCCGTATTTCGTGCGTATTTCCCCTGTACATAAAATTTTTAAAATTGTTCCTCTACTCACTATCATCTACCTAACTTCTCACCACCTGGATAGCGCACACTTATGGCGAAATCAATTTTTTCTTATCTATGTTCTGCACGTGAGGGAGAACCTATTTTTTACTTATTAGTGAATTAACTAGTGTGACAAACAAGGAAAATTTTCGGGCGGTGAATAGTTTTTTCGTTTTCAGTGAACACGCAAAATGGAACCGTTTCAGTGAATAGACGAAATGGAACCGTTTCGGTGAGCACGCGAAATGCAAGCTCTTCAGTGCAGTCCATATATGTGTAAAGCCGGATGGGGGTGCATAAATGGGGAAACACATCTGTGTGCATCTACGTATCAGAAAAATGGATACACCTTGGACGCGGAAATGCGCAAAAGAAAAAAAAAAAAAAGCAGCCTAACAACGAAGGGGAGAAATGGCAAAATTAACAAAGTGGAGTAAAGATGCTCCACCCTGACAAATTTATTTTGAGGCCATTATTTCCCCCTTTTTTTAAAAGCAATAATAAGTGGGCGATGAATTCTCGATGTGGCGAAACTTGAACTGTCGGGTGAGACGCACATCGGGGGCATTCTGCACAAATATATTTAAGCGTATGTATGCATAGGACGCAGTAGTGAGGGCTAAAAAAATGGCCAATCCGGTCTGTAACTACGGCAGGAAGGATTATGCTACTAAAAAAAAAGTACAAAGTGGTTACAAGTTGGTCAGAAGGTTACTCACAAAGTGACCGAAAAATGGCCACAGAAATGGTGTGAAAGATAAACATTGGTGATGGGGGAATGGCACCCTGCCCCTCACACGCGTAGGGACAACTCGCTTCGGGTGCGACACACTGCCACTATCGCTAGCGAGTACTTGTCTGGCTTAAAAAAGGCAAGCTTCGTATTAATCCCAGTGCCCCTTATCTGACAAGTGTTAGAAGCTTTAGAACAGTCCGTAAAATTATTCCTCGTCTTTGAGAAGTTCGTGTGAAATTCGAGGGAGAAACCAAATACCAAGGAGGTATTTTTTGGACAAGCAAAACTAAGCGACGTATCATCTTCATGCTGATCTGAATTTACATAACCCATATTTTT